GTGTATGCCTCAATATATACTTGCATAGAAAATAATTGAAGTGGCATAAAGAGAAGCTTTTACTAAAGTTCATCAGCATTTCCTACCTTCATATGATCATCTGGGACTTGGTCAAGAAGCTTCTGAATCCGCGTATTGTCATTCCTCCGGAAAGCTAGCAGATCCGAGAGACTAAACGCAGTCGTACCATCCGTAAATAACTCTAACAGGACACAGCTATAAATGTGAGGCATATTTGTAAAAAATAAAAAATAGAGTGAATGTAGATGCAAATTTTGCTCATTTTCCTCCACAACTACAAGAGTAATCGCCAAAAACTGTTCGTAAAATTACATGCTTATAGAAAAAGGCATTAGTCTGGCTAATAAAAGTAAAAGATTCCCCAAATATGCTGAAGAATGAAAATTCTGAGAATATTCATACCTCTTAATGACACTGATCTTCGGCGACAAATTCATAAGTGATTTGTAGGTTGGCTTTAGCAGAGCATGACGTGAGATTAACTTAAGGATGCTATGAGTGTACTTAAATGGATAGCCTTTATGGGTGTAGCGGCGAGAAGGGCGTTATCCAACGACAAAGAAAAGATACTGAGCTTACGCCAGGTAAGTGATTAATTAAATCAACAAGGCTTCCTGATAATTTACTGGAGGCTTTATAAAGAAGTTTCTTATACTGATAAATTCTATCTAGTAGCGGACTAGAGGCAAGCAAAGGTCTATATAATTGAGAGAGTAGAACACCAAGAGCTAAAAAGCTCAAAAATGGCTGTATAAACACAATAATCTCAAAAAATATATAATTACGTCTGATGCTTGAGTAGCTCTCATTTTATTTTGAGCGAGTGAAAGGGATTTGTAAGTTGGCCTCACCAGAATGATAGGATGATCACCTTGCGGCTGACTGTAGATTTGTGAGAATAGGACCTCGGTGCACCGCCCTGAGACCCTGATGAATCCTTGCTGAGCTTTCGTCCATCATGTGACGAGCATCGTCAGAGCAGGATACCAGGCTTGACGATAATTTACCCAAACATGAAGAAAAGAAAGGTGGCAGTCCCAAAACCTACCTATTTCTTATAGTCCAACTCGATCAACTTAATGAGGCAGCTCATTATTTGGTAGGATATCCTATGCTTGGCAAAAAAGTCTGACGATGTCCGTCAACTGACGAACGAAAACCCTGCAATAATTCATCGGGGTCACAGGACGGTGCACAGAGGTCATATTCGCACAAATCTACAGTCACAACTCCAAGTTAATCCCCTTACAGCTTCCGATGAGGCCAACTTAAAAATCCCTTTCACTCGCCTCTTCAAAAGAAATTAAAGACACTCCAACACCACTCCATTAAAGAATTCTTCAAAACCCAGTTCTTCTACATTATTCCATTTGTTTGAAGGTTCAACTCTCAACATGAAATGAAAGTCGAAAATAGTTTTAGTCTTATAATCGATTATTTTTAACCTATTTGTCATTAAATAAATTAATACTTGATTTGACGTAGTTAGCAAATTCCATCTACAAGCTGGATATGAAAAAAAGGCACCTGTCATTGAAGATTGGACCGGTAGCGAGATAGCATATTATTCTATCCAAACATCATAATCGAAGCGGATAAACCATGAATCGAGAATAATATAGGAGACAACCTTGAAATAATCTAACTCATTTTTACCCAATAAATAATATACTACAGATTAAACAATAAATTGTTCTGAAAGAAATATTGCGATCATTTTTTTGTCCTATATACAAGGAATTGATAAACACAAACGATCAAAATAGACCTAAAGCAATTCGATCTATTATACACAAAAACATAGATTTTCAATTAAAGCTAAATATTTTCTTCAATTAAACAAGAGCAATCCAAGTACTCATACCTTCAGTGAATAATGCTTCATAAAGATCCCTTAGAATGTAAGCGATAATCTTGATCACGAATGATTTAATGCAATTCAAAAAATCAGCTTTGCTAAGCGGAAGAGGAAACATATGCAATTACCGGTTATGCTAGTAAATCCAAGCTACATCCTACCTACTATAACGATCAGAGTTGTTAGAGTAGATAAATTGACCAACTTTCATTCAAAAGATGAATAAACAAAAGAAATAAATAAGACAACAATATATTGCATTCACCCGAATAACCAGAGTAAAATACGCGTACGGCTTGATCTTGATTAAAGTATTCAGAAAATAAGAAAGTAAATCAATTAATTAATTAGGATAAAATGAGAAAAAAGCGATAATAGGGGCTACCTTTCCCTACCCAGCAGAAAAAAGATCCATACTCGGTCGGAGGGGACCGCTGTAAAGACGTCCAACAATAGAAGGTATCGATGTTTGCTGCTGTTCAAGACGTTGAAATGCCGGGGGCACTGTAGTTATTTTGGTGAATGTCGGTTCCAGTGAATGATGTAATTGGTCTTCTGATAGTGGCTCAGAAATCTCGAGTTGACCCACTCCAGCTGACAATAAGTCGCTTTCTGGCTGGCCAATGTCCAACTTTTCTTGTTGAATCAGGTTATGCTTAGGACGAGTAGAGACCTTGGTGCACTCCGCTTCATCGACAGAATAATTAGTGGGGGCCTGGTGGTCTGTTGGATATTTTTCAATGCAATGAGCAGTTCGATTTACGCCCTGTATATTTAAAAATGTTCCAATGAAAGAGATATCAAAAAAGGGTTTCAGATATTAATGTCAAGTTAAGCTAAAGGATTAATAGTATTTATTTGTTTATAATAGGTAACGAAGAGGTTATTGTATAACAACTGGAATAAAAATTCAGTCTTAGGTACCGATGAGACTTGGTACAATCTCTTACTGGCAGTTTAGCCTTATTTTCGTAGGGAAGCGCCAAGCATGACGTCTGCTAATATTGTACATTGGTGCAGCTTTATGGCCTTTCCGGCTCCTGGTGCCTTCTACACCAAACAAGAGACAAACTAACATCATTAAATTGATGTGGGAGTACCTTCCATTTCGTTTGAAGAGGCAAGTGTAAGGGATTCATAGGTTGGTTCCACCGGAAGCTGTGAGCGATTGCCTTGGAACTGTTATTGTAAATTTGTGCTAATAGGTCCTCAGCGCACCGCCCTGACATCCCGAGTAATCCTTGCTGAAATGTCGTCCGTCATGTGACGGTCATCGTCAGAGTAGGACATCATGGTTAACGATAATTCACCAAGCACAAAGACAAGAAGGATGTCCGGCGTAAAACCTACCCACTTTTTAAAATCCAATTTGGTCCAATTAATTATACATCCCATGTTTTGTTTGGATATCCGATGGTTTGCCTAAATGTTAAGTGGCCGCGGATTACATGTGAAGTGGCTACAGATGAAGCGTGAAACGGCTGCAGCCACTTCATATGTCATCCACATACAATATCCAACCAAAAGAGTGTACCAAATTGGACTACAAGAAGTAGGTAGGCCTGAAGCCGGCCATTTTCATGTCTTCGTGTTTTGGTGAATTATCTTTAAGCATGGTGCTCTGCTCTGACGATGTCCTTCACATGACGGACGGAAGCTCAGCAAGGATTTACCGGGGTGGCAGAGCAGTGCACCGAGGACCTATTCGTACAAATCTATAATCACAACTCCAATGCAATCCCCCACAGATTCCGATGGAACAAACTTATGAATTCCTTCCACTCACATCTTCAAACGAATTGAAAGGTACCTCAGCATCAATCTTTTAAGGGATTTTTCAAAACCCAGTTTTTCTAAATCATGAAAGTGTTCGTAATTCTAAAAAAATTCAAGTCTTCTAATAGGTAAAATTAATTATGAAATCATTATTGAACAAATGAGAAAAATTTTGATTTTACTGACAGAAAGACTTATTCAGGACTAATGCTCTTTTCTTGAGTAGGTTAAAGTGAAAAGATATTTAATAAAAACTTATTACATCCCATCCTAATGGTCAAGTAGCTTAATAGTGGAAAAATAAAATAAAATCTA